CCTTTCGCGTGACTCCAGCTGTAAAAAAAAGATAAGAAATATAAGTTGAGATTATGAAAGGTAGACGCTATCGTACATGCGCATTGGCGAATTAATGAAGCAAGGTCGAAAGAAGCGTTCGGAATGCATAAAAGTTTGACTACGGCCATGAGGACTAAAACTGGGAAATGGCATACGAGGACGAATGAGAGGGGAGAGAGAGCTGAAGGAGAGATAGGGGCATCAAAGCAAGAGGACGGGGTCAAAAAGACGGGAGCAAGAACAAACGATAGCGACAAAGTTTGTACCTGTCTTCGTTGCAGGAATTGATCAGCAAGATTGCCAACTAAGAGGTTAACAGCACGCATGCACCTATGCGAAAAGAAACCCGAATGAACATGTAATCGAGCATAGTATAGCAGAAGTAAAACTGGCAGAAAAACGGGGTACTAGGGACACGCACACAGGCAATTGAGAGACTTGGCGTGGATGGGGGGGGGAAGAACCGCCGGCATCAACCTACCACCTGTTTCAGTGAGAATGGAATGCGCCCGATCACAAACTTAACTCTCAGGGGTAAGTCCCCCTCGGGGTAGGCACGGATGTATGCAATCCGGAACACCAGTGAGTACAAACATTATACCCAACAAGAAGCGCAAGCAGTTAGTAGGGACAGCGATCAAGAAGTCCGTCGGCGTGCGGGGTAAATAGGGAGGAGACATGCATGGGTTTTCTTTCCATAAAAGCAGCCGGCGCAGGCGAAAGGCATGATGTGTACTAGACGGCGAAAGCATGCGACAGCAACAATGAAATCATAGGACCTTGTCAGTCATGGTGGAAGCGGCTGGTGAAGGCGTGACGTTTGATACAGCAGCAGCAGCAGCTGACTGCGATGGTGGTGAGGTCGTCTCTACAGCGGCGGCGGCAGCAGAGGAGGAAATTTGGGGTCTGCTTACCACTGAGGAGTTGGACTTGCTAAGACGCGGAGAAGAAACGGCGGTGACCAGAGCGGCGCCCCATAGCGAGGCTGTGTTTCGCAAGTGACGAACTGCTCCCTCTGTGCCCACAGTGGGTGCGAGATGGAGTATGTCTGTCAGACTAAAGGAGTACAAAATAGACCCCTGAAGGCAGTCGTCCATAGGTGGCCCGCGTTCTCGCCTGTCACAAAAGCGTAACCTGCACAAGGAACACATACACGCGGTCCACTGTCACCCGAAACGATTTTATGCACAGGCACTGCCGTTGCGTGTATGGCGATTCGCGTCCAGCACAGTTCTCTAGTTTCTCCGATGTATTTGCCTTGTACGCAACTGCATCAAATGCGATAAATGATGCCAGATATTTTTTGTCGTGGCAGTGAGTATTTTGGTTTCATTACTTGACGCCCAAATGGCCACTTGCGGTCTGTGTTCGACTTCAAATGCGAATGGTGCGATAATCGGTGCTGAAACTCATTTTGGCCAAACCAATTCACCACACGGGGATCACATAGGGAACACATTGCTGGTGAGCCGTGTGGCCGAGCAATCATCACATCCAAATCCAGTACGGCACGACCCACACACTGACCATCAAGCAATTAGCAACCAAGCGGGCAACTTTGCATAGAGCTAATCATGACATTTAGCGAATAATGTGAGCCATATTGTATAAGTCTAAGTAGCATTAATACATATACAGGTAAGGTGCTGTATTTTTGGGCAATTCACAGTCTTAAAACTCATAATTACGGTTTTATTTAAAACCAAAACATACCGTTTTGTAAAGGAACAAAAGTTAGAAAAAAAGAAAGTTGTTACCACAAGAATGAATATTTTCTGTATGTTTACTGCGAAAAATATACTTAAGTTTTTATAGATCCTGGAAGTTGGCGCAAGACCACCGGCTATTAAACGCACCTATTTCAGTGTCCTGCTTGGGGGAGGAGGGGGCGCATATAAGAAATTCGACCGCCGACATCCTGAGGCAACTGAAATATTTTGTAAGTTATGCTTCATGGGAAACAATATTACAACTTCCCTGAAGTAATTCCTTTTGATGGCAAATACGTGTCAGCAATTCGGTTAACGTTCCAGGAGGTCAGTCACTGATTGCATGTCTGACTAATCTTCACTGCGGTAGGCGCAGCCCACTCGACAGCGCATTTGTCGTAGCCAGGTGAGAGGCAATGAGGAAGAGCGATCATCGACCTGGTTCTTTCTCTCCCCATCACTCTCCCTACACCCTTCAAGTTCTAAAGGTGAGACAAAGTGGAGAAGGCTGAGGGTGTAGACGTGGGTGCAGGGTCTGATCTGATACAGACCTACGAGTCCTGCTAGCGTATTCTGATACCCTGAGAGTCAGAGTTGTCTTGGTGAAAAGAGATCGAACATGATTGGTCCCATACTGGCCTCTCTTCCAGTCAGCACTGGGAATGAACTCGG